TACTCTAATAGATTAACAAGCTAATCGAGCTAAATATTGTGTAATGTTTAAATAATAACTTACATAAAGCACTATAAAAGTTATAAGAAGCACATTATTTCCGTATACCATGCCGTCATATTTACCTCATAAAAACAATACTGTTGCGAGGAAATTCTTGATATTTATGCAACACGTTAAGCACACAATTGTATATAATTCTGTGTCATTAACGCAAGCGCTGCTAATCGGTATCATTGTTAAACACAACGAGTAGCATATTCCCTCAACTGGCGTATTCCCCCGACTTACCCTATATATATAAAAGACGTCTTTATGATATGTCTTTACAAAATTTTTTAGATACGCACATTGTTTGGATATTTTATTGTTATTATAATTGATGTTTACTGGGTTGTCGTTTAAATTCAATTACTGCATATTTTTTCTTCTTAATAACGTCGTTATTTTCAAATGGAATAGCCGCCGTGGTGGTACAATCCAGTAAGTACAACACGATCGATGCAAGATTTTGTTGCATGGACGATAATCTCCCGTAGTGAAGTCACAGGTGCGACCTTTATTTTTTCAGACGAGCAGCACACCGGCACCTAGGCAGGTGACTAATTGCAAAGAAATGCTGAATGGCCGTGTTCAAGTGCAATGGCAGCTACAGGGTGAGGACGTGCAGATTCGGATCTCAGGACGCATCGAGGAGGATCAATACGTGGCATTTGGATTGTCAGGTCGGGATGGCAAGGCCGAGATGATCGGCGGCGACGTCGTCGTGATCGGATACAATAATAAAACTGGCAAATTCATCGCCGAGGATTACTACATGACGGACATATCTCAGTGTGACGGCAAGAGGGGTGTATGCCCGGATCAGAGGATCGGTGGAAGAAACGATGCAATACTTGTGCATGGGGAAAGACAGAATGGCATAACAACGGGTACGTCTTTATCCAAACAGAACAAAAAGTCATAAACAATCAAATTAATTAAAATGGCTTTAAAATGATTATTAAAATTACTCTTTCAGTCACAATTCTTGCATTTTAATGTTACTTTGACGTTATTGCGAGATAATTTGCATATTACATAAAATATATAAAACGTCTTTTCGATGTCTTATGCAATATAAAATGTTATCTGGGTTGTGATCTATATATATATATATATATATAAATCACAACCCAGATAACATTTTATATTGCATAAGTATATATATATACCAGGTATGTAAATATGAAACCGGAATTTACCAATAAATGGCCATATATAGCTGTCAATGTAGTTGCCGTCAGACCGCGTCATTGACGCCATTTCCTTGTTCTGACATCTGATAAAGATTTTCAACTCACAACAATACAAGTTTCATACAACAGTATACTTTGTAATAGCGTTGAACATGTCGAATTTTGTGCCTGGAAACTACGATTTACGGACAGCATTGATTTTCTGTTATCATTTGAAGAAAACTGCTGCAGAATCGCATCGAATGCTTGTCGAAGCTTACGGTGAGCATGCTCTTGGTAAATCACAATGCTTTGAGTGGTTTAAAAAATTCAAAAGTGGCGATTTAGACGTGAGAAACGAAGAACGTGGAAAACCACCAAAAAAGTTTGAAGACAGCGAATTGCAAGCATTGTTGGATGAGGATGACGCTCAAACTCAACAACAACTCGCGGATCAATTGAATGTGACACGAGAAGCCGTCTCCATACGTTTGAAATGGGAAAGATTTAGAAGATGGGAAAATGGGTTTCACATGAACTGAATGAAAGATAGCAGGAAAACCGAAAAACCACTTTCGAAATACTGCTCGCCAGGTACAAAAGAAAGTCATTTTTACATCGAATTGTGACTGGTGATGAAAAGTGGATATATTTTGAGAATCCTAAGCGTAAAAGATCATGGGTAACTCCAGGCGAATCATCGACATCGACTGCAAGGCCAAATCGCTATGGACGGAAGACAATGCTCTGTGTTTGGTGGGATCAGAAAGGTGTGATCTATTATGAGCTGCTAAAACCTGGCGAAACCGTTAATACTGAAGGCTACCGACAACAAATGATCAATTTGAATCAAGCTTTGCGTGAAAAACGATCGGAATATCAAAAAAGGCAACACAAAGTAATTTTGCTTCATGATAATGCACCATCACACACAGCAAAACTGTCAAGGAAACGATTGAAATGTGTTTGGTTGGGAAATACTTTCGCATGCGGCTTACTCACCAGACTTGGCTCCGTCCGATTACTACTTATTTGCATCGATGGGACACGCACTTGGTCAGCAGCGCTTCACTTCTTACGAAGATGTACGAAAATGGCTAGATGACTGGTTTGGCTCAAAAGAGCGACAATTTTTTTGGCGTGGCATCCACAAATTGTCAGACAGGTGGGAAAAATGTATAGCTAGCGATGGGCAATACTTCGAATAAAATATTTTTTGTCATTTTGATCCAATAAACATGTATTTTCTATTAAAAAATTCCGGTTTCATATTTACATACCTGGTATATATTATTTTACTTGAGTGTTCTATACGTTACGAACGCGACAGCGACGGAAGGAATACATGGCTAATTTCTTTATTTCCTGACAATTCCTTAGCAATTTTATTCTTCATATCACTTACAATTAGACAATGTTAATCTTATAAAAATGCATTTGCTTAGTTATATAACTATAGTTATATGTATAAATCAGTTATATAAAAAAAATTTATGAATAATTTTTTTATACAATACTTAATTTAATTATATTTAGTAAGTAATTACAGTACAAAATAGCGTACTAGGTCAAAAATTTTTCTTGCATGAATATGTATAAATAATATATATAAACATACATAAATATTCATAAATATGTATAATCATACATGTAATACGTCCATACATGTTCATAAACCCTCTTTTTTTGTAAAATTACTTTTTAGTGTAATAGAAATAATAATAGTAATATGTGAAAACATTATATGTAAAAAATAATTAAAAGCATAATTTTCGCATTGTTCGTTTAAAAAAAACAAGTTTAAACAAATGTAAAAAAAAAGGTTGCTCATACACAATTATGCATAATTTTATATATAATTATACATAAGTAATTTTTTTCTTTCTTCAAACTTGTTTTTTTTAAACAAATAGTGTGAAAATTGTCCTTTTAATTATTTTTTATGTTTTTCACACATTACTATTATTATTTCTATTACTAAAAAATAATTTTACAAAAGAAAGAGGGATGTATGAACATATGTATGAACGTATTTCATATATGATTATGCATATTTATAAATATTTATATATGAAAAATTTTTTACTGGATAAATATGTATACCTATAGAAATTTTATAATTGAAATTCTATTTAAAATTTCCATAGGTATTTGCGATTTTTAATGTGAGAACTAAAAACTATTTCTGGATGTATTCATATAATTTTAATTATGTTTATTATATAAAGTTAATTAAAGTATGTGAAACGGAGAATTATTATCGTTACCGCTTTTTCGTTTATAACTATTTTAAGATCTTGACAACTATGTAATTTTCTATTAATTTGTATGTCAAATTTTAGTTATATGACATACTAAAGATGGCCTAATCTTGGTCGAAACGTTTATTGCTTGAATTCATATTTTTGGTTTATAATTTATACTTTTAAAGAATTTAAATATAAAAAAGAGCAGAACGAAAAAGGGCTACAAGCCTAAAATTTAGTCGTTATAAAATTGAAATTATTAAGAAGTCACAGAATAAAAACATGTCATTTCGTTATAATATAAACTTTAATTTGCCGGCAATAAACAATAAAACATAAACAAAACAAAAACAGATGTTTCGATCCCTGTTGGATCATTATCAATGTTACAATATAAAAGTAAAACGGTGAAAATATTTAAAAAATTAGAATATAAAAATTATAATTCACTCTCAATCGCAAAACTTATAAGACTCACAGTATTCATGTAATAAAAAAATCACGCTCAGTGTAACATGAAGCTTGTACAATGGTTGTAGTCAATAAAAATGTGAACTTCTGGACATAGTATGCGGATTAGAACGAAATTGTATCTGTTAAAACGTATATAAAATTATTATTAAAAAAATATAATATTAAAAGTGCATAAAGCAAAAAAAAATAAATACCAAATACAAAAAGAAAAAAATATATATGTAACATTAAATAAGTAATCTAGAATTCTTAGAAATATAAACTTAATTAATAAATAATAAATTAATGTGTGAATAACCAAGAAAATTAATAGAAAATAACAATTTGTAACAATTAAAAAATAAATAAATATTTAATTTAAATATACATATATAATTTTACGCTGAGAAACGATTCTACACGTGACTATATGCTCCTTTGATTACACTGTTAAAAATGTCATGAAATTTAATGTACTTTTAATTTATATAAATTACATAAATTAAATTAAATTTTATATAAGTTACATAAATTAAATTTTATATAAGTTACATAAATTAAATTAAATTTTATGACTAAATTAAATTTTATGTATCTGTAACTGAAAAGTACATATATTTGTGTACATGTATGTACATGAAATTTAGTGTACCTACGTTTTATAAAATTTTACGAAGTTTAGTACATTTTTTATTAAATTTTATTTAGGTTTGTATAAAATTTAATGTAAGTCAACGTTAAATTTAAGTTATTTGTAACTTCATTTTTATTGACAACACATTAAATATTTTTAATGTGTTGTCAATAAAAATGAACACATTAAGTATTTTTAATGCGTTGTCAATAAAAATGAAGTTACAAATAATTTAAATTGAACGTTTACTTACATTAAATTTTATACAGATCTATATAAAATTTAATAAAAAATGTACTAAACTTCGTAAAATTTTATGAAACGTACACTAAATTTCATGTACATGTACACAAATATACTTTTCAGTTACAGATACATAAAATTTAATTTAGTCATAAAATTTAATTAAATTTATGTACCACTTAAAAGTACATTAAATTCTGACATTTTTAATAGTGTACTTTGTAACTATCGTTGAGTTAACTAAAGTATACGAAACGAGGAATTATTGTTAATATGCGATTTATTTCAATTTACAGTTACGTACACACGTCCGCTAAGGACTAACGAGCCAGAGAAGGACAGAATGATTCCGGAAAGAGAAACAAGCGTGATCGCTGCCATCGGATCTTTGAATGCGCGAGGCGAAGCCAATGCTCATGAGAGATTCGATAAGACCACTGAGGATATTCGTATTGATTTTACGTCGAGAAATGTTCACGAATGTACAAATTCCCTGTACAATATTCCGGACGCTCCTGATCTTGAACCCTGGACGCCGGCTGTCATCAATGATAAAAATATTTTGAATGCAAGGATTGGGCCAACTGGTGCGAAAAGAGGATACTCACGAATCACAGGTATCAACATGTTATGATTGAATTACGCATCTAACTTGTTATTATCATTTATTGAGTAAAATCTTACAGTCTTACGCTAAATGCAAACAAAAAATTACTATAAATTATAAATTACTTGATGATGACTATATTTGGAACTTAATTAAAAACTAATTAAAAGATAGTATCTCATTATGAAAATTATATCTGTCATATCGATAAATTTACAGATACATTTTTTATTCCACCATTATGTAAAACAATAATGTCAAATGATATTAGTATTGTGATAATCTTGAACGGTTTATGTTTTTTTTAACTTTAAAATGATAAAAGTAGTTTAAGATCGAGATCGATCAGTGATTCTTACATATGCAATTTATAGGTACACCTTCTTGGGGCATCGCATGGTACATCAATGATTTACTGATCCCGGAGATCACCGTTGAGCGAGGAAAAACTTACACCTTCATCGTGGAGGGTGGAGATGATCCTGCCAATCCCGCTAGGTGAGTCGTATTCTCATTTATGATAATACGTACCCTTCAAAGTGCGTACATACAGGACAAAATTGAATCAGGATCGCTATATAATATTCCCAATATGACATTGTAAAATACATTATTATGAAACATTCTTATGCCTTTGATATAGGTATCATCCATTCTACATAACTGACAGTCCAGAGGGTGGTCTCGGACAAAATATAGAGAAGCAAACGGAGGAAAGGGTATTTGCTGGAGTAGAGTACGATTCCAATGGATATCTCCGCGCAACTGCAGCCGGCCGTTATTGCGAATGGACTCGTCTCATAGTGAATAACGCGGATAATTACAAGACATTTAAGAGCTTCTTCGAAACACTCGAACTTAAATGCGACATGGGCGAGCCTGCCAAGCTCGTATGGACTGTGAAAGAGGATACGCCAGACTTAATCTATTATCAGGTATAACTTATTAAGGAAAAGCCCAAAATCGAATAACTACTTGCGAAGATACAAATTATTTTAGTAAACAATCTAAAATTAAAATTTATTAGATTTTCTGAGAGATTTCAAATATCAAACTTTTTATCATACAATTTCTTCTTCAGTGTTTCACGCACAAACATCTGGGCTGGAAGATTCATGTTGTTGACCCGGGACGATCGCAGAGAAACATTAACGGCATCAGTCAAGTTCTGCCTATGTTTACGACGTTTGTGACCATTATCGTACTTCTTTTATTCTCAAGATGAATCATTGCATTTCCTTTTTTCAATGCGGAACAAATAATAGAAGACAAAGATGACGACGAAAACTGATCAATTTAAAATAATTACGAAAACTATACAACAATGTACGATTGTTAAATCGACAAAACACATACAAGGTTGTACGAAAGTATTTAGTATGTAAGATCTATTCTAAGGTAAAAGATTAGCAAAATATTTTTAAGACCTACCAGATTCAATATTTCATATTATATACATATGAGATATATATATTATATATAATATATATACATACATATACATATATACACAGGTACACGCATACATATATACATGTATGAACATGGACGCAAAATTTCCATACTCTCTTTGACATATAAAGCTGGGTTGACAATAATAACGATCGAAATGGGTATTCTGACAATAATAGTGATCAGAACTGATTAATTAATAAAATTCTGACAATAATCGTGATCAGAACTGAATAATCAATGGAATTCTGACAATAATCGTGATCAGAACTAAATAATCAATAAAATTCTGACAATAATCGTGATCAGAACTGAAGAATCAATGAAATTTTGACAATAATTATAATAAGAACTGAATAATTATTGAAATTTTGACAATAACGAACAATCGTTTAGGAGAAGGATATGTCAAAACGATATCTGGGGACGAGATAATTAACACGTAACTATAAATAGATATAAATTTAATGCTGAGAAATGGAGATGTATCAGCATGTACAATGTAAATTTTGCACAAAACTATAGTTGATCTTAATATAATTTTAAATCGACGATAATACGTAAGAAATACATTTATAAATGCTGTCGACTTGACAATAATACGTAGAGTAGTCAATCGAGAGAAAAGGAGAGAAAAAGAGAAAGAAAAGAGATTAATGAAATGTGAATTATGTACAAGAAAGTAAAGAAAAAGTAATATTTAAGGGTGATGTGCAAGTTACAAACTATCCCCTATACGTGTAACAATGCTATAATATGTATATACTATAGAGTGGACCTTCCTAAAACGGAATGAAAGTAAATGTGCCTTGGGTACAGATAATAATAAATGTCTTTAATTACAAGGATTAGGACCCACTCGACAGAAGGACACCGTCTAGTACTTTGGAACTGGTCTCTTGTGCGTGAAGCGTGTCGCATGAGTAAAGCTTATATTTTATAGAAAAAAAATATCATAGAGAAGGAACTATTTCAAAAACTATTTCTTCAATATTTTCTTCAAATATTCAATGCAATTTTAATTATGTATATATATATAATATTTTATATGTGTGCCGACATAATTGTAGTTGTTAAGCAATGCTGTATTTTGCGCGTGTAGCAAGGACAAATTTCACAAGTATAATAAAAAAAGGAAACATAAAATTATAAAAGAAATATCAAAAGATGGCCTGCGGCAGACATTTCATAGATGTAACTCACATTGCAAAACGTACAAGGGATATGATAAGACGTACCACCAAGAGAAATCAGCAGAATACATAATCACTTAGGGTAGTGAATTTAGTATAATGTCCTTCTCGTAATGTCAAGTTTTAAATGTGTGTCCAGCTCCTAAGTGCCGGGGTGTCCACGAAATTTTCAGCAGTAAATTTCTTTACGATTCAACCGCTTATCGCACGAAGACCAGTCTGTATTTCATTACATACGTATATACACGTACACAAGTATATCATACATATACCGAACAGAATTCTCTGAAATTTACATTATCTAGCTTTACAAAGGGCGAAGAGTTAAAAAAAAGAGAAGGTAAATAAGGACTCGTACTAATTACCATATAAGTAAATAAATAAGAATCGTTTAATCGATGTTGGTGTCACTGAATTTTCGATATGACAGTACTTGTAGTAGGGGAGGCCGAGAGGCTAAATGTGGATTTACTCGAGCGTCGTGGGGACCTATTGGATTGTGAAGATTAGATGCTAAAAAGAAAAAAAGGGT